TCCTTTGTTCGAATGTGGGATCCTTTGTTCTCAGTCATGCTGGAAGAGTCTTGCAAAGCATGTTACGACACCTTTCCTCTTTTCTTTGAAGAAAAGTAAATGGCTTGTCCTCCTGGGGGTTGGCTGGAAGGTGTGAATGCAACCCTTTCATGTTCTTCTGAGGCGCCATGGTGACGTTGATATGTTAATTACAAGCACAAGGATCGTGCAAGTTCCTTAACAGAAGTTTGAAAAGTATATCTGACTCTTTTCCCAAAAGTCATAACAAGTTGTGTCCATCAGAATTCATAAATCGAGGTAGGAAACCGCTACAGGAGGGCAGAAGGAGGATTTATGATAATTTATGGCCCACAGCGTCTTCAGCCTGTTTATACTCGGTCAGGAAAAGACGCGCTGAAATTGTGCAATCATTAACCCGCAGTTGCTTTATTGAAGTATCTCAGCCTGACTTAATAAAAAAGCCAAGTGAGGCAGAGAAAAAAATCAACGAGGCTTCACAAGATGGCTCTGTGGCATCACACTCACACAGAGACATTTTCGGCTTTACGCACGGAGCAGGTTTACATCACGGAGATCTTATTTAATCTAAAATAAATAAAATATTCCCATCTGATCATCATCTCAGACACCATTTGGATATACAGTATTATAATTTTTTAAAATACTTTTTCTTAAGGAGTCAAAAGTGGAAAAGTGTGTGTGTGTCACCGTGCGCGTTGGGCCTGGTGTGGGTCAGATATGCTTTTTTTCAGCACCGTGCGCATTGCGCTCATGTGGCCTGTAGTCTGAGGTGCGCTGATGAGATTTTCTCCAATAAAATCCTGCAGGCACAGCATCTGAGGCAGAACTGCAAAACCAAAATGACAATAGCCACATTATGTGAATGTTTAGTCATTATCGTTACCCCGTACCCTGAACACTAGTGCTGGGCGGTGTAGTGGTCACCTAGGGGTGGAATAAACTGTCCGCCTGTCTTTGACCTTGGACACAGAAGGCCTCCTTTAAAGAGACAGAACTCTGTTCATTTAAAGTCATAACATGTTTTCTTAAACAGTAAAGAGACATTTTCTTATCAATCTGATAATATACAGAATAATCTTCTTTTATTCATAATTTCGTCAATGTAGGTTTTACACTTAAAATACGTATATGTTAATCAAATAAAGTCTAATGTTACAACTAATCGGGGATCCCTTTAAAGGCACAGTGTGTAGGATTTTGTCAATACTTTTAGCTGAAAATGAGATAATAAGGCAAAACTAGAATTGAATGAAATTGTCGACAAAAAAATACATTCTTGTTACAAAGACTTCGTTTAGAAAATTTTGAACATAACAATAAATCAGGAAGTTTCTTAGCTAACCAACTTAAAATCAATAAAGAAAAATCAACTATATATGGTGTTAAAGACATAAATGGGAATACATCTTACGATCAGGAAAAAGTAAATAGTATTTTTTGCAATTTTATAAAAATCTATACAGCTCACAAATAAATCCATCAGATGAAGATATTGACTGTTTCTTAGAAAAAGTAATACTTCCAAAACTATACAGTAGTCAGTCATCAGAACTAGACTCTCCACTGACATCAGCTGAACTCTGTGAAGCATTAAAATACATGTCTGACAAAAAAGCTCCTGGACCAGATGGTTTTCCAGCAGAATTCTATAAAAAATTCTGGAATATCTTATCACCTGTATTTTACAGAATGCTGCAGGAGTCAGAGGAACACGGCAGACTTCCAGTACATATGAATTCAGCCAACATTAGTCTTCTGTTAAAACCAGGCAAAGATCCTGTATTCCCTACCAGTTATCGTCCTATRTCACTTATTAATGTTGATCTTAAAATAATCAGTAAGGCCCTCTCCAAAAGATTGGAGAAGATAACTCCTTTCATAATTCATCCTGACCAAACAGGTTTTGTAAAGGAAAGGCACTCATCTACAAATTCACGCAGATTATTTAATTTAATAGATTATTCTTACAGTAAAAACATTGGAATGGCTATTCTGTCTTTAGATGCAGAAAAGGCGTTTGATAGAGTAAACTGGAAATTTTTATTTGCAACCCTGCGTAAATTTGGTTTTGGAAATTATTTTATTAACTGGTTAAAAATCTTATATAGCTCACCAACAGCTTGTGTTAGGACAAATAACTTAACTTCTTCCTAAGGTTATTGATTTAATAAATTC